GTTCCAGTAGGAAGACGTGACCAGTGGAGGTCAACCCTGTCAGGTGTAGGCAGTAACTACCAAAGAAAAATGAGTGAGGTTGCACAAAATCCAAAGATTGACCGGAGTTAGACATTTACATCGTTGGATGCCGGATCAGCGGTCTATAAGTTATGTGTTCGTGCGGGAAACCAAGAGTTCTGGGTTTGACTACTGAAAATTGCAAGAGTCTGGGATGAGCACTGCTGATGAGTCACATACCAGGGCGAAACGACGGTTTAATGTCTTCAGGTCTCTAATGGTGGTCTAACAATGAGTGATTCACGTATTCAATAATAAACTACGATCTCCTTAACTCTATGATACAATTATAGTGTTACTTGATAATACATGAGCTATCAAACCCAATGTAATCAAATCAAAATTACTTGAGTACTTAATACTAGATAAGAGCTTTAAAACATTTTAGTTCAACACGGGATTGTGAAAAAGCCATTCACAAGTATAATACTTTAAAGAACATCATAACAGTCACCTTTTATGAAATCACTAAACAACATTACAAGACCGATATGAGTAACCCAGGATTATGTGTCGAATTCGTCAACAAACGTAAAGCAATTCTATGAAGATTATTGTAGTGTTATTGGTTTATTCATGAATTTATATTACTTGGAAGGCCATTGAAAACCATAAAGCACTACACAGCCATTTCGTCCTACTATAGCACTCATCAAACGTCTTCAACTACACGCCAATAAAAAGAAACGAAAATCGATTGCCACACAGATCTCTCTCTACCTGACCTTCATCTTCACATCACTTAGTCAACATCCAATGCTGTCTGTACCTGACTCGAATCAGTTGATCACGTCGTGCACACCACCTCATATTGCCGTCAGTCAGTAATCACTACACACACACATACAAAGATGTTTGAATTCCATTAGTCAACCATCAAAATTTGTCATGATCATCAGTTTATGTTAGTGAATCGTGGAGATTAGACGCTTTCGTACTTTACATCATCTACTAACACCATCTAATTCATGTCATTAACACAATTCAAAGTATCCACCACGTAAGACGTTGATAAAAACTCCAAAGTTCAACTCATTGATGAATACAACAGTCCAGAAATCAAAACACACTAATCCAACATTGAAATCTGATCAGTATCAATCACTACTAACACTAATATTAATGTCGTTATTATTGTGGTGTGTGCTACTTATACGAACGATATAAGTAGTATAAGAAGGGACGTGAAAGAAGAAGAAGTCGCACGGTCACAAGAGGAAAACGGAAAGCAAATGGAGCAAAAGCAAGAAGTGAATGGAGTACCAACAGGAAGGAAAGGAAGCAACAACAGGAATGGAAGAAGAATGGAGCGTTGGAAATCACGACTCAAAGATGGTGTGCAAATAGAGTGTGCAATGTAATGTTTTCGTTTTTACTTGACTCAGAGTGTAAATTTGCATGATGCAATCTTCCGCGCCTGCCTCAGTCTTCTCAGTGTTACTGTTGCTTTCTTTCCCTTCATCGATTCATCAAACCACTTGAAGTGAACATCAATTGAACTTTTCTCGCTATTCATCTATTTATGATGCATAGAAAAAATACCCGATGAAATTCAATTCAATGTGACCTTTTATTCAAAAACGAAAAAACACACACCTTATGATTGATGATCAACTCAAATGAGAAGTGGACTTTTAAGTTACATTTTTTCGCTCTTTATTATGAAGTGTGTGGATTGTTTGTTTGTTTGATTTAATTCTTTTGAGTTCAGTTTGAAAAAAATAAAATGTTTGACCTCGAAAAAAACAACAACAACATGCTTGCTCGCTTGCTATATTCATCATTGAACTCCATTCAATTCAATTCAATTAATTGTTTCTGTTGAGATCAATAAACATATTTGATCAAAGGATAATGTAAATGTTTAACCTAGCTATTTGAATGTTCTGAAAACCTAGTACTTGTAAGAGAGGAACTGAAGTATGCGCTATGCAGAACGTCTACTTCAACTAAATATACATCAAGTTATGTATAGATGTTGCTGTTAGGTGGACGGAGGTAGGCGATGGTAGACTCTTGACGCACGTTTCACGTTAGTTTTGGTGTATTCATCAACAATACGTATCTGTAATGTTGATACAAATGACTCTTGTTTTCGCCATTTGTAGATGGAATGACTCAGGTTCACAGTGGTAGACCGTATTGTTGAGATGTGTAGCAGGTGATTGGCCCGCTGCTATTGGACTGAGTTATTCAGAAATGACTGATGACTAAATAGTAGCAAATGTCATATTTGATTTTAGTGTTTTGTGTGCTAATTGTATCCTGATCAATCAAAGATACTCCCTGCTAATGATGTCTAACTTCAATCAACCCATGATATTGTGTTGTGTCATCATTCATTGTTTTCAATGGGTAACTCTGTCTTAAATCTGACACAACTGAACTCTACTAGTCACTAGAATTCGGAGAAATTCTCCTAGTTAATGGCATATTATAAATAACATTACATTTTATACTGATCAAGTGTGACAGAGATTGAAAAATTACAACAAATAACATATTGGAAAAATAATATCACACTGGAATTTATTCTACTGAAGCTAAATATTTAAACTTCTAAATCACACACTACTTGATGCACTAATCTCAATACTACTACCAACTACTATTAGAATAATTCAGTAGTCATGTAGCTGACAATAAACCGACAGTGTTTTTTTCTTATTACCTCTAAGGACACATCTGGTGAGTGTGATGGCAGATTTTAATCAAATAACGATAGATCTGAATGTTAATGAAATAAGCTCTCAGTTTGTCAATGGGTACACTTTTTTTTCGCTCAATGAAACCAACTCTTTAATTGGTTGTATGCCATTTTCAATGTAAGATTTGATTGGTTGAATTTCATGTGAATGACTCAAGTTTACAGTCTTCGACCTTACTATCGTACTATATGGGCATTGATTGGCCACTTAATAAACTTTATTATATCGGCTCCATATTTTGAACAAATTAGTTAGAATGTCATTATTTTATTATAGACAGACAGATAGAACGTGGAACTTCGTACGTAAGTACATCAGTTCAACACAGAGATGCAACTGTCAGTTCAAATCCAAGAGTGATCTCGATAGTAGAAGTATTAGCAGTAATAGAGAAGATTAGGGAGCGAAGAAATGATTCGAGAAGTATAATTCAGTGTGATAAATTTAGAAGGAGAAAGATAGACATTATGAGGAATTCATAAGGTTAGAATTAAAAAGCACACAAAGAGTGGATGCACCTAAGCCATTGCAAATGATTTTGAGCCATGTTGTTCAAGATCTCTGACCATTGGTGACTTTCGTCTCACGGACTCGAACCAGAAAGCTTACATCTACCAACATGACTCAGTTCACTTGTCAGTGACTTCATGGATTTCTGCCATGTTTTGGTTTGGCTGCCTCTCGGTTTCTTTCACCCTAAACCCACACCACAAAACACAGCTCGTCGAGGCAGATCGACCCATCATACAAAATGTATATAGCCTAAACTCAAGCATCCTAAATTTACTTTATCATATACGTTGACATTTCGTCAATAATTACCAATCATTTCCAATCAATATCATAAGCAAAAATGTATGTTTCTTTTATTATGATGAGTGTCTTCATAGATTTGAGTTCCATTCTTTTCTTTTTATTATCGATCAAACACACGTTTTCATCTAGTTTCTTTTTTCATGCTTACTTAACTAAAAAATCTCATTACAAATGACCTAATTCTTTTCTTATTTTTTCCTTTTTTTAAAATAGGACTATTTCACTTCAAAGTACAAAAAAAAATTTCCTTATTATTTTTTTTTCTAAGTTATTTTCCTCAATCACAATTCAGTATAAGGGATTAACTTTGCCTACACTGATTCTCATGTGAATTCTATCCCATTTATTGATGAAATCATCTTGTATCGTCGTCGTCCTCCTCTTTTAATTTATTTTTTTTTATCTCATAATTAAAATAAAAACTATGAAAATATCAAAAACATGAGGTTTTTTTGAGTACAACAACAAGACGAAACAAACCCACTCACTCACTCACTTACTCTCATTCAAAAAAAAATTGTGATTAGAACTTTTAAGTTCATTCTAATTAATTAATTAATTAGTTAATTAAGTTAATTAATTTGAAATCATCAATCAATCATTGTGGTTAGACCGCATCATCATTAGAAATCTAGAAGCATTGAAAGTGCGACCGTTTCGTCCTGCCTGGTATGGGACTACTCATCACTGGCAGTGAGTATCGACAA